CAGTGCACACTCACATCCCACGCACACACAGGCAAGGACTCTCTTCTATAGGATGAATGCATGTACCCAGTGCACACTCACATCCCACGCACACAGAGGCAGGCACACTATTCTATAGGATGAATGCATGTACCCAGTGCACACTCACATCCCACGCACACAGAGGCAGGCACACTCTTCTACAGGCATGAATGCATGCACCTAGTGCACACTCACACCCCATGCACACACAGGCAAGGACTCTCTTCTACATGCATGAATGTACGCACTCAATGCACATTCATATCCCTGTGCACATGCAAGTCCAGTCTGCTCACAAACATGCTCAGATTTTGTGCTCACGTGCTCTCATGGCATGCATAGAACTTGCATGTACACAATACACACAGCCACACACAGCCGTGGGCACAGGGATGACCCAGTCTTTGTTTTCTAGGCAAGGAATAAACCCGAGAGTGGGGTGGGTGAAGGCTATTGAATCATAGACTCCAGAGGTCTCCCCGTAGTCTGGGCTCCTTAAAGGATGCTGCAGCAGGTCTGGGGTGCTCTTCTGCCAGGAGCCATTCATCTGAGTTTCATCACAATACTCTGAAGAAATCACCGAGGAGAGAAAGAAGTCTGCCAGGAAACCCGCTCAGGCCTCTCCAGGGCAGGCCAGCTCCGGGGGCCCTGGCCAGCAGACCTGCCTTAGCTGTGGGTTTGCCAGATGGCTCAGAGTGATTATTCTGGATCTAATTAGGAGAAAGTTGCCCTTGTTAATGGCGTAGAGCAGCCATAGGGGAAAGACCCAAGTCTGCGCCTCCCTTCTCCTGAGCGTGTTTCTATTGCTTTAATTCAGCAGACATTTACCAGGCGTCCAGTTGAGGGGGTGCAGAAATGAAAAGCACCGTCAGCCCCAGGTCCCTCTATGTCTAGTACGTGGGTAGCTTCCGGCCTCGATTGCATGAGGTCAGCCTTCAGCTACTGATCCTATTTATTCATCTTTTACCTCCAGAGTGGGATGGCACCATGTTGTGACAGGGACAGATCAGACTGGGCTGGGTGAGGAGTGACGCTGGCTGGTTCTGCTCATTTGGGCTGCTTTGCTGGGGGCATTCAGGGCATCTGGCTCCAGCTGGCTCCTGGCTGGTGGCCTGATCTTATTAACACTCCACCCACTCTGGCTGGTCAGTGGGCCCCTTCCAGCCCAGGTCCCCTCCTAGCCCAAACCTAAATCCCTTCTTCCTGCAATGAGTGTTGTTCCTCTGGTGAGATTAACTGCTTCTTCACCCCATTTAGGGCAGAGAGCCTGGAGGCCAGAGGATTAAAGAGATGGACCCACATCCTCTCCAACGGGTTCTCCAGGCTCTTATCTGGATCCAAGTGGCAACAGCTGGTGGGGGGGGGACTTGATTTGAGGGGCACTCCAAGCTCACTTGCTCCCCTTTCTCTGTATTTCTAAGGACAAAGGGCCCAGGTATGTATGTCTTTCTGGGAGAACCAGGGAAGAACTGAGCCCATTAGGGGTCTCAAACCTGGTATTTATCCTGGAGTGTTATCCCAAGCAGGATAACAGAGCCATCTATGATGACCTGGTCTAGATCAAATTGGTTCCTGCATAGCTCTTAGGTCCTTTTGATGGGACAAGGTAACCTACTGCGAAGATGCTGATGGCTGAGGGGTAACCAGTTCTGTCTGATTATAATGAAAACCATTCTGCCACCTGCCCAGAACTTCTCTTAGACCATCATGTGGGAGCAAGCAGGCCCTGAGCAGTGGACAGATGAAGCCCCAGATCCGGGTCCTAATGGGTGTCCTTTCCATCACTGCACAGACTGCTAAGATTCCAGAGGCAGGGTCCTGTTAATTTCCTACCTGGCTCCAGGCAACCAGGAATTCTCCTGGGCAATGGCCAGACCAAGGACAGTTTCTGGATCAAGTCTATGGTGCCAGCCCTAAGTTAGCTATTCTGCTTTGCCTGGCAGGATTCTCAGACCTTGTCTAAGCAAGAGTGAGGAGTGCCTCTAAACTGTTAGTCTACTTTTAATCGCATGCCAGAGTGCTTACTTTAAAGTAAATGACAGGTAACCTAACATCGTCCTGCATCTCTATAATTCTCAACAAATGACAAACTCCCCAATTTAAAAAGGGTTGGGGTTTCATCTTTGGGGGCCATAGTGGTTTAGTCCATGGGCTTAAGACAACTTTGGTCAAATTCTGGGGCTCTGATGATTATTAGCTGAGTGATCTCAGCTGGGTCCCTTCACTTTCCCTTGCCTTAGTTTCCTGATCTGTAAACTGAGGCTGATGATATAAACCACCTTTTCACGTTGTTTTGATGATTAAAAGAGAGATAGGAAATATGCATAAAATGTATAAAACATTTAGGAGAAAGCCTGGCACGTGGTGAGTGAGGAATACGATGTAATCGTATGAGATCCTTATGAGAAACATGGACGCCTTCCTTCCACATCACCTTTAGGGAAAGGGCATCAGCGCTCTGGGGATCTTGCTAATCTTTCTCTCCTGCCTTCTCTCTGGCACCTCCCTGATTCACGCTAAGGCTCCCTCTAGCTTATGTTTGGTGTTCCTTCCTCTGGCCTGTCCTACTCTCTCCCACGTTCTGTTCTCAGCAAACTCCTGTTCAAAGAGCACCGAATGGGGTCTGGGGACATATTTTGCTTGCCCTGTTTTGTTTTGTTTTGTTTTGTTTTTTTGAAAGTTAATTCCCCCAATTTATAAATCTGGAATTTTTAAAAATAAAATCCAGAATTTAAAATTACCTTGGAAAAATCCTACAGCATGGTGCTGCTGGTCCCACATTTCTGCAGGGCAAGCAGAGACTGCAGTTGCACAGGCCTCCTCTGGACAGGATTTGCACAGCCCAGGTCCCCACCGTCGGCTCAGACCGGCTGTCTTACTCATGCAGGTTTTCTGGCTTTTGTCCGGCTTCTGTAGGCATTTGAGTTTGAGGCCTCTGCTTTGAGATCCCCGCAGGAGATTTTCTGACCCGCTCTCCCTCCAGACAACAGATCGAGCTTGTAAACCCTTTGTCTTGGACATCTGCTGACTTTGCTCCATCTCATGCTTGCCCAACTTTAGGTGGCCGCCTCCTAAGAGGGGTGAAAGTGTCTATGCTCTTTTGTTTGTTTTGTCTCGTGCATCTTTCTCTCTCTCCTGCCTAGAGGTCCTGGAGAAGTGACCAGATGGAACAGAGTGAGCTTCCAGGGGACTGCTCCCATGGCAGCCTCCTCCTCTCTCTCAGCTTCCTGATCTGTGGGGTCTTTCAGAGACTTCCGGTCCACAGAGGGCGAGGGGACTCCACGTGAGCACCCACGTTCTCACCACATTGCAATTCATCCACTCATTCCTCTCTGTATGGAATTTCCTTTTCTCTCCCTCCCTAATCCCTGCCTCCACTTACTCACCCAAGTGGTCACCTAGGACATGCCAGGCACCGCATCACGCACATGCTTGGAGGAGAAGCAAAGCAAACCAGCAGCCACAGCAAGGTTCACCTGTGCCCATGGGCAGACATTTACCAGGTAGGGCTGCAGTTCCCCCATGGATTTAATAACTTGATTAGAGATCATTTTGTCCTGGGCTTCTTTCGTCTTGTGACTGTCCTCAGCCTTCTGAAACTTGCTATGTCACCTGAAAACGTCATTCTACTGACAGTTTATGAATTCTAGACAAATCCCCCTCTGCTAGTGTCAAGGGGGGAGTGAAGCCAAGGGGTAGAGGAAGATGGTGTGAGGGGAAGAGTGGGAGGGGAGGTCGGAGTGCACAGGCTGGTCTGGCTGGGGGCTGGGAGTGCAGGAGTGGAGGGGGCCGGACCAGCTTGCCTACCAGGAGGGCCTGCCAGATGCTCAGACCACCCTGTGAAATCTCACACCCTTCTTGCTCCCTACCAGCCCTGGCTCCAGCTCAGGCTGGATTTCAATCTGCATAATGTGTCCCATTTAGATGGGATGGGAGGGGGTGAGAATAGGAGGGTGGGGCGGATGTGCCCCAAAGGGTGGTGGCCAGAGGAAGCTGAGGGATAGAGGCTGTGGTGAAGGTGGCTGGCAGTCGCACACAGGAGGCGGGGTCAGAGAGCAGGCTTGCAAACCCCAGATAACTGTTCTGCCCAGCACTGCAGGGGTCAATTTGGTCTACTTGCCCAGTGACAAGAAGGAAAAAAAAAAAGTGGGCTGTGACTTAAAGATCTTAAGACACACCACAGAGGGGCTGGTCTGGAGGTGGGAGGAGGGACAGACCAGGCAAGGAGGAGACAGGGACTCAGGAGGGTGCAAGGAAGCGTCTTACTTAGCTGAGACCGGGCAAGGGAGGAGAGGCTGGAGCAAAGTCTACAGGACAGAGGCGTCCTCTGGGATCCGGGAACCCGGGGGCAGCCCCTCCTGCATGCTGGGTAGGGCTCTGGGCACCAACCACTCTTCTTACCCTCTGGGGCTCAAGCCAGAAGCTCAAAGTGCTTGCTGGGTTGGTGACAGAGAGCCGCGGAGCTCAGACCCCCGGCATCCACTCCCGTCTTCTCTCCACTGCCCGGCATGGAGGAAGGTGGTGATTTTGAAAACTACTACGGGGCAGACAACCAGTCCGAGTGTGAGTACACGGACTGGAAGTCCTCGGGAGCCCTCATCCCTGCCATCTACATCTTGGTCTTCCTCCTGGGCACCACGGGAAATGGTCTGGTGCTCTGGACTGTGTTTCGGACCAGCCGGGAGAAGAGGCGCTCGGCTGACATCTTCATCGCCAGCCTGGCGGTGGCCGACCTGACCTTCGTGGTGACCCTGCCCCTGTGGGCCACCTACACCTACCGAGAGTACGACTGGCCCTTCGGGACCTTCTCCTGCAAGCTGAGCAGCTATCTCATCTTCGTCAACATGTATGCCAGCGTCTTCTGCCTCACCGGCCTCAGCTTCGACCGCTACCTGGCCATCGTGAGGCCGGTGGCCAATGCCCGGCTGAGGCTGCGGGTCAGTGGGGCGGTGGCTACGGCCGTGCTGTGGGTGCTGGCCGCCCTCCTGGCCATGCCGGTCATGGTGTTCCGCTCCACGGGGGACCTGGAGAACAGCACCAAGGTGCAGTGCTACATGGACTACTCCATGGTGGCCGCCCCGGGCTCAGAGTGGGCCTGGGAGGTGGGCCTGGGCGTCTCGTCCACCGCCGTGGGCTTCGTGGTGCCCTTCACCGTCATGCTCACCTGCTACTTCTTCATCGCCCAGACCATCGCCGGCCACTTCCGCAAGGAGCGCATCGAGGGCCTGCGGAAGCGGCGCCGGCTGCTCAGCATCATCGTGGTGCTGGTGGTGACCTTCGCCCTGTGCTGGATGCCCTACCACCTGGTGAAGACCCTCTACATGCTGGGCAGCCTGCTGCACTGGCCCTGCGACTTCGACCTCTTCCTCATGAACGTCTTCCCCTACTGCACCTGCGTCAGCTACGTCAACAGCTGCCTCAACCCCTTCCTCTACGCCTTCTTCGACCTGCGCTTCCGCCAGGCGTGCACCTCCATGCTCTGCTGGGGACAGAGCAGGTGCGGGGCTCCCGCCCACAGCAGCAGCGGGGAGAAGTCAGCCAGCTACTCCTCCGGGCACAGCCAGGGGCCCGGGCCCAACATGGGAAAGGGTGGGGAGCAGGCACACGAGAAATCCATCCCCTATAGCCAGGAGACCCTGGTGGTTGACTAGGGCTGGCATGGGGACAGCCTGGTGCCCTGGGCCCTCCCAGCTCCATCCTTTGCTCTGGAGGTCAGGTAGTGTGGCTGTGCCTCCTGCCTGCACTTCGCCCCTTCCCTGTTCCTTCCTCCTGTCCAGCCCCGTCCTTCTCTTGGTCTTTTATTCTTTCTCAGAGGTCTGGGGTTTAGTAGAAAGAGACTAACCCTTACAGACCTGAGCTTGCCCAAGTCTCTTAACCTCTCTGAGCCTTGGTTTCTCCCTTAATGTAAAATGGGTGAAGTCAGATTGACCCTGAAACGGTGAACTGTGAGTTCCGACTCAATAAAAGTTTGTTTCCCCACCCTGTTCTTTGCTCTCCAGCCCTCCTGTCTGCCTCCCTTTGGTTTCCTCTCTCTCTGCTACTGTTGCTCCTGGCCCCAATGCCCTCTCATGGCTCCACCTCTTGGGGTTCCCCTGCCCTGTCTGCCCCCCTATTCTGCAGGGCCCTGGAGGGTTAAGGATTCTGAAGCTTGCAGAGACTGACCCTGCTCCAGCTCTTTATCCTGTTTTCGGGGCAGGAGGCAGGGGAGGGCTGGAGCAGGGGTGGGCTGGCGTCAGTAGAGAATTAGCACTGCAGTCCCTGGGGCCTGGAGCTCCAGAACTTTCCCTAAAATTGGCTCAGTTCCCTGTCATTTCGAGCACTGGGGCTGGCATGATCCCGGAAGAGAGTACCCTTTCCTGCAGCTCCTCTGTGGTGCCAACTAGATGTGCTTTCTCCAAATGCCCTCAGATCCTTTCACTCTTCCCCTATTTGCTGTGGGCTGTGGGAGTTGGAAGGCATCAGGGGTTTTTGAACTGACAGGGTTCTTGTTTTGTTATGTGAAAGGGGAGCAGGGAGGGGGCATGAGAGAAAGAGGGCACAGAGGGGTGTCTGCACTTAGACTGGAGGTGGCTTGGCTCCCCTGCCCACACCCCTGCAGAGCCGCGGGCTATAGGTGGGTCTCTCCTGTCTCCCCATCTTGCCCCAGCAGTGCCCTGCTTTTTTTCTTGGGCACTGGGGCTTCTTGGTGCCAGGAGTGGCCAGCTGGGTAGGGATACGTGTTTCTTGTCTGTGTGTGCGTATGTGTGCGTGTCTAGGTGGACAGGTTCAATGTGAAGAACAGCAGCCCAGGGCACGTGGATGAACCCCTCCCACTCCTGTCCGCCCTGAGTCTTCGCCACATGTACCCCTGAAGGGAGGAGGGAGCAATGAGGCAATACAGCATGAAAATGGGCCCACCCCCACTGGATTTGGGGGCTCGATGACGGCTGGTCCGTGCTTTAAAGGAGAAGTTTATGTTTGCGCTGGACTCCCTGTGGGAACCCTCTTCAGTCCCCAGGGCAGCTGGCGCCCATGGCTTGGGACTGTCTTACTGAGCTGGGTCACTGCTTGTTCTCTAGCTCCATGAGGGAAGTAACAGGCTCCCCGCTTGGCCCCTTTCCCCTGCCTCCCACTTTGCTTTGAGTTTGTGGGTGCTTCCTCATCACTGTCCGTTGTTCTGGGGTCATAGGAGGGCATGCCATGGGTGAAAGGCAGTAGGTGGGTTCTTTCCTCACCCTTAAGATTGAGCCTTTTGGCTTCTGCTGGGTTGGGGGACTGGGAACAGAGACTAGAGTAGCCACAGAAACACGATGTCCACACCGCCAGAGAGACCCTGATGATGAAACCTACAGAGGGACCTTTGTGAGCTGGGGGTGGGGTGTGTATTCCGGGTTTTGTTCTTGGAGGACTCTGGAGATAAAGGAGAAGATGCCAGTGATGGAGTCAGGAAGAGCCCAGCTTGGTGTGAATGGACAGAGGAAGGAGGAGAGGGCACGGGGCTCCTCTCAGCCTGGCCTCCCGTCTTAGGCCAGCATCTCTCACAGTTGCTTCGTCTGCTCAGAGCTGTCTCAAAGCCTCCAGTCAAGGCTGGAGGTAGCTTCTGGAAGGGAAGCGTGCGTCCCTCTGAGGCCCCTCTGTGTGACCTGCAGAGACTTCTGGGGCAGAGGCCCTGTCTGCAGCACGTCTGTGCTACATTCTGACACTATTAGTCACTGTGGTTCATCAAATAAAACTGTTGTGTGTAACTGTCCTGTCCAAAGCCTCCTCTCACAAAAGTGTCTTGGGGTAGGGAGAGACCCCCTTTACGTCTGCAAATCTTTCAGTAGGACGTGGGGTCACCACAGTGAATGGGGAGGTGGGCTGTGGAAGCTGTAGGGAGAGTGTGAAGGGGGAAATTGCAAACCAAGGCGGGGCAGGGAGATGCAGAAAATAGGGACCAGAGAAGGGAAAGGGAAGGATGGGATTTAGTTGCAAAGAGGAAAAGGAAAGGAAGGAACAGGGCGCCTAGTGCTGTGCTGTAAAGAGCCAGAGAACAAATGGGCATGTGTTTCAGAGTTCAGAGCACAGATCTGGGGAGAAATACCAGCACTTGTTCCCATGGAGGTAGACATGTTACTCATTCATTTCATTCACTTCTTCCTTTATTCATTTTCTGTCTACTATTGACTCATGCATTCATTCATCCAGTATCATTTGAGTATCCACCAGTTTAGACCAGAAGTGGATCCAATCAGAGTTACTCTGGATACTTCAGAAAATTCCCATTCCTGAGTGTCTCCCCAGACCTATGAATGACTCAGAATCTCCCAGATTCACCCCAGATGTTCATAATTCCAAAAATTCCTCAGATAATTTCTGGACAAGGCCAGGCTTAGAGAATCTCTATGCAGATGGATTTTGCCCAAATTCAAGTGGGCACAGAAGACCAGACTAGAGGGTCAGAGCTGGAGACAACAGAGCTGGGTTCTGTCCGCTCATCTGTTTGGGGGTAGAAAGGGCTGACATGATCCTCAAGGGAGCAACATTTAGTCCAGAGGAACTCAACCATCTTCAGCGAAGACCTCCTGGGTATTAATAATGTTTGCAGATGACACAAAAGCAATCACCCTAGCAAAATGAAAGAGCTCAAATTTGTGGCATTTTACGACTGTGCTAAGCATTTCCCAAACATTATCTCATTTAATCCTTGTAGCCGTCCTCTGAGAGGGGTGTTTTCAACCTCATTTTGCTGATAAGGATGCTGAGACACAGAGAAATTAGTTTGGTCCTTTGACCAAGGTCACATAACTAGTAAATGGAAGAGCCAGGCTTGGGACAAGACAAATCTGTCCAACACCAAAGCCCAAAGCCCACTCTCTTGACCATGGCATTGCGATATTTCTCCCAAAATATAAGTGAGGCAGCACCATGTGGCTGAGATCTCATATGCAAGGTGCCAGGGATAAGAGAAGAGTCCCCGTGAATGGGGACGGGAGTGAGAGAGGAATTAGAGAGGACGATGGAAAATGCACAAATGAGAAAGATAGAGGGTGGGGAAGATAGAGACAGGAACAGAGAGAGTGAAGAGAAAGGTTGACAGAGGCAGAGACTGTGGGGGAGAGAGAGACTGAGACTGAGAGATGGTAGAGAAAGAGACAGACAGAGATAGGCAGAGACTGTGAAAGAGGCAGCAAAGGAGAGATGATAACGAAGAGAGAGAGTGAGGAGAGGGAGCTAGAGATGGAGAGGAACAGAGTGAGGAGATGGGTGGGGAGAAGGAACTGGGAGGCTGGGAGGGAGGTTGAGGGCAGGGAACCGGCTCCTGTTTCCCTTCTTTTGAAACCTACCAGGAAAAGCCCTTCAGGAATTTACACCTATCACAACAAGCTATTGGGGCTATTATTGTTATTGTTATTATTTTTACAGGTGCTTTAAAAAAACTCATCACTTCTCCTGGGAAGCTTGAGGTAAGCTATCCAAATATTGTAAGATTGCAGAGCACTTAGTAACCCCCTTGCTCACACATGTCTTCCATTATTCACTCATCTGTCTGTTCCTCTGTTCCACAAGTCCTTATTGACTACTTGTGTGCCAAGATCTATGCTGGACATGGGATCGGGGATGAGTAAGACTCAGCGGCTCACAGTTTGTTGGATGCAGGCAGTCACATGAAAGATTATAGCCAAAGGTGGCAGTTCTGAGTAAGGGGATGTAGGGGGTGTCCAGAGGGGCTGGAACAGTGGAATGAGTATGGGTGAGCATCGGGGAGATCTTACAGCTCTCTGCCTGCTGGGAGTCTGCTCCCTGAAATGTGGAGCGTGAGAGTCAGTTGGAAAGTGTTCTGGGCAGAGGAAGTACCTAGTGAACACAGCCCCTCTGAAGACCGGAAGGAGCACTGGGCCTTGTTTTTAATCCATCCTCACTCTAGCTCTGGCAGGTGGACCAGCTAGGGACACAGAGGTCTCTTGCCCAGGTCACATGGCATGGATGATGAGAAGACTGGGGGCTGGGCCTAAAATCTGGGTCTTGATACAATTTTTTGGGGGGAGGGGGAACAGATTTTATTCTTGGTGATTTCCTGTTTCTCCTCTCCGTGGGCTTGAACTGTCTTCCTCCAAATTGTCTGCTAGGGTCTCCTAACTGTAGGCTTAGGGTGCCCAGGTGGAGAAAGATGCTAAGAAGGGGCAAGGGGATCCCTTAGGAAGATCACCCCCCCCCCGCCTAAGCTCCCAGAAGCCAGGATGACACCCAGTGTGACCGACTGACAGGCTCTAGAAGTGGCACCCCACCATCTCAGTGGGTTCGACACTGCCTCAGCCCCAGGGAGTCGGAAGTTTGCAGGGCCTGACCTGGCAGGTGTATCTCTTCTCACCCATTGCCTAAATGCTTATAAAGTCACTGTGAGCAGTGTTGGAGGGGGACAGACACAAAGATGTGACTCAGGGAGCATAAAATCAAGTGCACAAGAGAGGAGATTCTGGGACATTGGGCTGACTCTGGAACTTTCAACTTATAGAGGTAGCGGATTAGAGCAATGTCTATTTCTTTATTCAGGCAGTAAACTTAATCAGTGTTTCCCATGTGCCTGGGACCATCTTAGGAGCTGGGGGTACTGCTGTGAACCAGATACCATTCCGGCCTTCACAGAGCAACTTGAAGAGCTTTCTGGTCTTACGTTCTCATTGATTGATTG